AGTCTTTCTTTTGTTACAGAATTCCCAGGTGAGAATTGAAAATAGTAGAAACAAAATTATCTCACCACAAACCTCCTTTGCATTTGACTGGTTTTTTTTTTTGCTTGTTTGTTTTCTGGTGGAGTTGCTTTCTATTTTCTTTTTCTTTTTCTAGTCTCTACTTCTGACTTTCCTGTGGGTTACTTGAACATTATCTTTAAACAATTCCAATTTGACTTATTCACAGTGTTTGGAGGATTGTTGTGTTGTTGTTGTCCAGACTTTAAAATTTTATTTATTTATTTTAAAATGTTTGCTCTATTACACATACATAACTTATTACAGTCTAATGATATTGACATGTTACCAGTTCCAGTGAACAGAGCTCATTTTCTTTTAAACATTTTCCTTCTTCTTTTTATAATATAATTATCTTAAATATTTCTTCTACATACATTAAAAATCACATCAGATGATGATATATATTTTACTTCTAGTGTAGCAGAAAAAATAGAGAGATCGTGACACCGAGACTATTATAGGAAGTGGCACTTTATTACGCTGGCTAGCACAGCACAGCGGGCCAGAGAATTTCATGTATCCAAATCAAGCTCGAGCACCCCAGAACAGATGACCTGGGGTCTTATACCCTCGTTTAGGTAAGGGAGGGGGGGTCGTGTTGAGTGATTACATACTTCCTTTGGAATCTTACAAGGTTGTACTTAGCAAAATCAGAGTTTTCAAAGAACAAATGATTTCCAGGAACTGCAGGCTTGTAAACTGTCAACTTCAGAAGGGATGTTTTTGGATAAGTCTGTGAATTAGCCACTCTTTTTGCATATCCATTAAATGGCTAGTCTTTGGGCTAACAAAACCTGCCTGGTGCAGGGGCGGGTCTTTAAAGTTGCAACTTGCCTTTCAAAAGGAAATACCTTTAACTGCTATCAACCTTTCCTTCTTGCCGCTGGGCTAGTGGCAGCCCAGGTGAGGCCAACTGCTGATCCCAAATCAGCCACATGTGTTTCTGTGTTTATTCACTCAATCACACAAGAAATATATTTGAGCATATCCGCCTCCTGCCACACTAGACATAATTTTGAAAACACAAGATGACTGTATTTATCCATACTTTTGCATCTTCTGGTTTTCTTTCTTCCTTCTTAATGTCCCAAGATTCATATATAATTTTCTTTATTTTTCAAGAACTGCCTTTTGCCATTTTTCTGTGGATAGGCATACTAGTAACAAATTTTATTTTTTTTTCTTGATTTGTAGAATGTCTTTATTTCCCCATTAATGTGTAAACTGACATTTACAGTTAATAGGCCTTGTTCTTTTAGCTTGTGAAAAATGTGCCATTTTATTCTGTTACATGGTTTCTGATGTGAAATCAATTTTAATTGACATTCGCTGACAAAAGTTTGTCTCTTGCTGCTTTCAAGATATTTTCTTCGTAGTTTCCTTAATTTTTACTACGATGAACCTTAGCATAGGCTTCTTTGGATTTACTCTATTTGGGGTTTGTTAGTTTGTTTAATCTGTAGGTTTATGTCTATTGAAAAAACTTAGGACATTTTCAGTCATTATTTCCTCAAATACTTTTTCAACACCACCCCTTCTTTTCTCCTCCTGAAACCTTAATGACATAAATGTTAAGTCTCACTGACAGGATTTCATCAAGTTATTCTACTAATAGCAGATGCCAAGGGCCAGTTGATTTGCTTACTCAAGGTGATTTGATGGGTAAAATATTTTTTTCTCACCATGACTCAATGGAATATAGATTCCTGATTAGTGATTGTGTATACTCTTGCGTGTATCTTGGGTTTTGAAGCAAACCTTAATCTTGATTACAATTTTATCTAGCCTTGTACATATCCATTGTTTAATTCAAAACAGCCTGCAACTTGTTCAGAAAGTTAGAATAACTGTACCTTCTGACCCTTGGCTCCTGACAGTTCCCTGGCTTCAAATACTTCTGGCATTTCATTGAAGTATTTGTTCTTCCTACTTGGCTGCCTTCCTAATCCCAAATGTCTTCCTAATTTCAAAAGTCTTTTGGTGACATTTTCCCTCTCCACCCGTATTCTTCTTTTCTGTTCTCCTTTATTTCTTTATTTTTCTTCATAGCACTCATCTCTACATTTTTACCATGTATTTACCTTATTTGCAACTGCCTACTGTGCAACCCCTAAAAAAGTCTGAGGAAGCTGAAGAAAGATGCTACCTATCCAGTTTCTTAGAAAAAACATTTAATAGGAACTGGAAAAAAAAACAAAAAACCATGTCTATGCCTGAACAGTGACAAGAAAATATGGTGGACCCCTGCACCATTACCTCCTAGATCCAGGGTTTATATGACATAGGGACAGGGTGATTCAGACGAAATGTGTAGGACAATTGAAGTATGATAACATTTAGGTTGCTTGACCTAAGGGCAGGATTTACAAGTACCAGTTCTTACACAAGTAATGATAGATAAATGGGAAATCTTAGGGGCTTTCCCAGAGCTGGGGTCAATCAGAAGTCAACATAGCAGATTAGCATCCAAGAAGGAGTTGCTTTAGACACCACAAGAGCGTGAATATTGTGAATAGAAAAAGTCACAGGAGTCAGAAGACATGAGAGAAGACAAAAATAAACAAAAAATAGGCACCGTTACTCTCCTGAATCGTTCTCTCAATCAAACCAAAATTCTCTGAGAGTGTTTGGCTTCGGAGCAGATTTCCTCATATCCATGGCTCTTTTTCTTGCTAGTATCCTGTTTCAGTATAAATAAATCTAAGGTATAAATAGCAGATAGCTAAGAAATTCCTGGAATAATTATCTACCTCCACCTGGATGCCACCTGCTTCTATCTCATGAACTATAAAAGCATAAAACAGCAATATTTCTCTAAGCAAATCCTTTGATTTATGTTCCTTGACATGAGAACATAAGACAAGACAATGACTATAATCATATAGTCAGATCCAAGAGGAATTTTCCCTTTTGTTCTCTGAAGGTTCACTGAAAATCACTGACAAGAGGCAGATTAACAGGAGAAAAAGCATACAAATTAATTTGATCATAGTTTTACATGACACAGGAGCCTTTAGAAAGAAAATCTAAACTTACAGGGGAAATTATTTTTATGCTTAGGTTCAACAATATAGACGGCTGTGTCGAAATGTGATTAAACAAAAACAATACAATCTAATGTTAATAGACTGAGTGGGGAAACCCAGCAAGGACTGTCTACATTCTTCTTGGCTTCACTGAGCATGCATTCCTTCCTTCTGGTGTGGGGCAAGACACTCAGGAAAGGGGATGTTAATGCCCTAAAGAGAAACAAGGTAGATTAGAGTAATATTTTTAGGTTTGATGGCAGGATTTGGGGAAAAGGGGTTCTGATTACTATGACTTGCCTTGGGGAAGAGCAATTTTAGTTTCTATAACTAGCCTCTGGTGAGAATATGACTGAGAGACAAGAGGGCAGAAGGTCAGAGAAAAACTTTTGCTTTTGAGGCTGCTCCAGTGTTCTTCATTTTTAATCCCAACAATATTAAGTTAATGTTTTCTAGTACATATTCACCACTCATACTTATGATTCAGTGTTATGAAAGAGTTCAGGAAATGCCACCCCAAAATATGTGACTTTGGTATGCTGATTACTGGAAACATAGGGCACTAGAGGGAAAAACAAATGTATGTTGGGATTTTCTCTGAACTCCCCTTACCTGCGTATGGACAGATCCTCCTAAAGGAATTCAGTTGTCAGAAATTCCCTCCCTGGAAAAATCTCATTAGCAAGGTAAGATTAACTATATCAGGACAGGAGATTGGAGGTCAAAACCACACTGACAGGCTTTGTCACAGGCTGTCACCTATCCTTAGAGGGCCCATTCATTTTTTTCCTTCAAATCATTTACTCTCCCCTAAGTTGCCTATATCCCTCCTCTCTCCCCTATGATGATAGTATATAAGCATCCAGATTTCACTGCATTTTTAGCTATTAACTTTTCTGCGATGCTTCCACACAGGTAATAAATTTGCATACCTTTTCACCTGTTGATATGCCTGCTTTCAATTTATTTCATAGACCCAGTTATCTAACTCACAGAAGATAGAAAAACCTCACTTCCCTACCGTGATCAGCTCTATAAGCCAGAGGGGTACAGTGAAGAATGATGGGGAGTTTTCAGAAATAACTAGAATCCTATTTGATGTAGCCAAATGAGGAAAGAGCAAAGAGAAGGTTGAGACTGGAACTGGTGGATAATGAAAAAGACTTCTAACTAAGAGTCCTTGGTCTCATTAACTCAGTGTTATTTGGGGCAAGAGAAATAAATATTCGGGGTCTATCAGTTCTCAAGTCTCTAAAATTAGGACAGCACTCTACATACTTTCAAGGTAATCTGAAAGCCTTATACACAAGATATAAGTGAAACGCAAGATTTGCTGTCCTAGGTAAAAGACTCATCATCCAGTCCTCAGCCTGTTTTCATTGTTTAGGTAGTTTAAGTAATGTTGGGCGACAATAGAGATTAATTTGTTCTTTTTCACCCTCATATCTATTGAGGAATTTAAAAATTTAAAACAACGCCTGGTACAGTTACCTTTTAAATACTATCTATGTAGAAATTGCTCCGAATCCATTCCTTTCTAAAATGAATCACAATCCCAGAAAAGAACCAAAGGTCAAAAGTCAGAATAATGAGGAAAAACATCCGCATTTGTATTTAAGAGTAGCATTTTGAGAAAATTAAATTGATTCAATTATTACCAGTATTCAAGTTAAAGGCTCATCAAGACGTTATTAGTGATTGGATTATACTTAAAGCATACACCAGATGGAAAGGCTGTATGTAAATGAGGGATGCGAATTCTGATTTCCCATTGGGCACTTTCCATTAGCCAATGGGAGACTACCCCACAGGCTACCTCCGGTCAGTATAAATACTTCTGTGCCTTCCCTTCTAGTGTACTGAAGTCTCGTTTTTCTGAGGTTCTTTTTTGTTTTGTTTTGCGCCTCAGTTGGAATGTCGGGTCGTGGGAAACAAGGCGGTAAGGCTCGTGCCAAAGCCAAGACCAGATCTTCTCGAGCCGGTCTCCAATTTCCCGTGGGCCGTGTGCACCGTCTGCTGCGCAAAGGCAATTATTCCGAGCGGGTTGGGGCTGGCGCGCCGGTGTACCTGGCGGCGGTGCTGGAGTACCTGACCGCCGAAATCCTGGAGCTGGCGGGCAACGCGGCCCGTGACAACAAAAAGACGCGCATCATCCCGCGTCACCTGCAGCTGGCCATCCGCAATGATGAGGAGCTCAATAAGCTGCTGGGACGCGTGACCATCGCTCAGGGCGGCGTCCTTCCTAATATTCAGGCCGTGCTGCTGCCCAAGAAAACCGAGAGCCACCACAAGGCCAAGGGCAAGTAAAGGGTTAACTGCGCTACTCTTTGGATTTTCAGTGACGGCCTAAAAACAAAGGCTCTTTTCAGAGCCACCCACTGCTTTCATTAAATGAGCTGTCGTGCTTTGAATTTTTTCTGTCCTTCTTAACTTTCTTATTGGAAGTTGATGAGATGGTGGTAATTCTAGTGGATCCCCCTACAGAAATCTAGCCCCACAATAGCCTTTGTAGGATAGGAACTTTGGCTTTGTGTGAAGCTTGAAAAAGAGAAGTATAACTGAAAGCATTGGAATTTTTAAAAGTAAGCATTTTATAATATTTAACAACGGTTACAGCAAAAACATATAGCAAATGAGTACGTTGCTTACACTTGACATTTTAACACTTTGTCTTTTGCACTTACCTTCCAAAGAAATTTTTCCTAATTCCCCGCAATACCAGTGCCACACCCTAAAAATAATCATTTTAAATGCAGCACATGGGTAAATTTCTTTATTAGACTCTGAATTGCTCAATTCTTTTTCAAAAAAAAAAAAAATGTATTGGAGATCTCCGCATTGCTTTACGTGGTTACCTTGCTTTAGTATGAATTTAGGAAGACTGCAGTGTCCGTTTTTCGTCTATAGTGGTTATAGAAGTGAAAGGGTTAATACAATGACGTCAGAGCAGCTATTGGGTTTTTTTCACCAACCCGAAAGTCACTCCTTAATCGGCAGGCTCGTAGCTGGACCAATCCGAAAACGGCGCGGGAACTTTTGAATGTTCTTGGACCCAATAGTTGGTGGTATGACTCTATAAAAGAAGGGTGGCTTTACTTTCTGCTTCAGTCTCTCCGGAGGCGTACAACCCAGTTCTTTGCTATGGCTCGTACTAAGCAGACAGCTCGCAAATCCACAGGCGGTAAGGCTCCGCGGAAGCAGCTGGCCACCAAGGCGGCGCGTAAGAGCGCCCCGGCCACCGGCGGCGTGAAGAAGCCCCACCGCTACCGGCCCGGCACCGTGGCCCTGCGCGAGATCCGCCGCTACCAGAAGTCCACCGAGCTGCTGATCCGCAAACTGCCGTTCCAGCGCCTGGTGCGCGAGATCGCGCAGGACTTCAAGACCGACCTGCGCTTCCAGAGCTCGGCCGTGATGGCGCTGCAGGAGGCCTGCGAGGCCTACCTGGTGGGGCTCTTCGAGGACACTAACCTGTGCGCCATCCACGCTAAGCGCGTCACTATCATGCCCAAGGATATCCAGCTCGCTCGCCGCATACGCGGTGAGAGAGCGTAAATGTAAACAATCTTTAGATCTTATTTTGTAGATAACCCAAAGGCTCTTTTCAGAGCCACTCACTTGTTCCGCCAAAAGTAGCTGTAATAACACGTCTGTTTACTGTTTTGTCTTTGTAACATCCGTAATGAGAGCAAATTACTTGAAAGCCAATAATTTGACTCCTATGACTCAGTAAACGCACATGGTTGGTATTCTCAATTACACAGGACATGTTTTTGACTGAGGTCCCGTCGTGGAGTTAACGGAAAAGGGAAGGCATAAGCGAACTAACGCTCAACCGGTTAGTTTTCCATGATGAGCATTTTTAAATCTATACAGCTCCTTAAGTACAAGGAAAAGCTTGGCAAATTGTCCCTGCTGCTTAGGAAGCTTTTTGGTAGGCTAGGGTCCAAACGTTTTTTTGAAACTGCGTGCTTAGAATGCTTTCTTCACCTTAATAGGTGTTCAAATAGATTTTCTTAAGGATTTTTTCTTAGTTTTACCTTAAACTCATAAATTGTGATTTCGGGATCTAGTTACGTGCATATTTTCTTCGTAGTTACCCACTTTTAAATCAGACCATAATTTAATCTCTTACATGATTAGTTATAAGTGGCCTTGCTTGTGCATATTTTACTTGGTTGCGTTGCTTCGTGTCCTCTAGGAGTACCATTGCATACCACACATTTTTTTCATTTAACAGTTCTTGCCTGTGGTATCTATTAAAATCTAGGACTTACAAGTTTTACCATTTTTCTTTTGTTGATCTTGCTTTTATGGTTTCTGGAGGTTGTGGATTGAGTGCTGGGAGAAAGGCAATTGGGATGGGAATAGTGTGCGTGTAAGAAAAAAATATTTACTTGAAATTTAAATTTTTGTATTTTGTATAATGATTGTGACTATTTTTTATCATATAGCTTTCACATATAAAAACAAATTTAAGAACTACACAGAATGCTGAACATGACAAACACTAATTTCAAAACCTTGCTTCACATTCTTCATTATACCACATTTCTTACACTTAGCATTCTTCTTTGCCTACATCTAAAATTCTGAAATCATCTAGACAACTGTCAACAACAAAAAACACATATGCAGAAGTTTACATATGCATTTTGTAGATTACTTGAATTTATTCGTGTTCCAATGTTTTAATAAGGCAATTTTTGGCTTACAAAATATTTCCATTTTTTTTAAACGATGAAGACCATTTATCTGTGTGTTTTACATTTCATTTTTCTCAATTCTAGTACAAGCAACTCTGTCACGGCTTAAGGATTATTTTGAAAGGAACTTCAAAACAGGAAGTGCAAGAAGGACATCTATTACAAGTAGAACTTTGTTAAAGTTACCAAAGTGACTTTGCCACCAAGCTCTGGGGCCCAACTGAAAACAAATATTATGATTTTTCTAGCATAGGTGTGCTGGATCTGATGTACAGTGCTTGACTTTTTTCCATTTATATTTTCTTTCTCTGTAGAAAAAAAAGGCAGGTACAGGGTCTGATAGTATCACACTAAAAATGAATTGTCTGAGGATCAGATGGAACAGAGCAGTGGTACAATCCAGTTGTTCTCTCCCTTTTCCCTTTTCCTTCCCTGCCCCCACAGCAGCAGAATAAGGATCTTGCTTTGTCTTTATATACTAGAGGAATTCAACAGAACAACTGTCCAGTGTCTCGAAGAAAAAGGTTATCAACATTTCATAATTCATGACACTGTTAATTTCACTATGGGAGGAAAGTGGAAGCTGGGACAGCAGAGTAGACTTTGGATGGTAATTTACCCATGTTCAAATCCTAGCATTATTATACCATATACTGTGTTATATTAGAAACATCGAGTCGTTCATCATCAGAAAAATGAGAGTAATATTTACATTATAAGGCTGTTATTTGGATATTAGTCCATTTCTGTATATAGCATTATACAAATAATTTTTCTAAGCTGTGCATTATTTTTACCTTATATTGTAGAATTTAAAAATTTGAAATATCTCAAATTTTCTATTTGGTAAACTCCTCTTTATTTGACATTACTTAGTTGCATAGATTATGTTCTATTAAAAATAATATTTTAGCAGATTTTTCAAAATCAACAATGGAAGAATTTCTTTTTTGTCAAAGAAACTGGAAAGTAGTGCCAAAATTTTAATATAATTGCATTAAGAATCCATGACTTTGCATTATAGGAGTGATTAAGGTGTGGTTAGAGACAAAAAGTGCTAATATTTGCAGAATATGCCATCCAAAAATTATACTGTGGCATAATAATTATTTTGCGGGATACCTCAAAAACAGCAATAGAAATAGGGCTTTCTAATCTTCCCCTTTTTTCCTGAAAACAGGAGATAAAAAGTTCCATGTCAAAGATGACCTCCCTTACCCTGAGAGAAGAAATATTCTCTAATACCAAGTCATAGATAATTCTGCACAAATACAACATGTGAGAGTTATATAGAAATACACCTTTTAAAAATAATTCTTATTTTTCTGTAACTTCCCCATACTGTTTAGTTACTTTTCCACAATTGCCTCTCTTCACTTTATTAAATATAACAGCAATTACACTTTGCCATTTATTTGGGTCTTTTTCTGTTTCTTTTTATTTATTTTTTTATTTTACTTGTTGTTGACTTAAAACTGGGGGTCTTCATTTTTTTTATGAAGGCTTTCCTATCCTGTAAAAATTATATTAAATGTATTTACATGCTTTTGTCCTGTGAATCTGTTTTATGCCAAATTAATTATTGGGTTCAGCTGGAGACCTTGGTAGTATAAAGGTAAAGTTTTACCTCGCCACAATGCACAGATTGTATTCATTTAATGTTGATTGTTGCAAAGTCATCAGTTATACTGTGTTTTTCTTCCTCAATTATCAGGAACTGATGTTATACTATTGTCTGACATTTACAGGTAATGATGTTAGAGTCTAGGATCAGTTTTGGTTTGTTAGAGACTTGGGTGAAAACACCAAGATCCTCAGAAAAGAAGAAACATATCGACATCAGCATAGATTTTTCAGTTAAAAATTTAGTAGTAGCCCTTCTAGTTTTTCCACTAGAGGTGATTTACTACTTTATGTGTGTTTTAGGGGAGATTTAACACAACAATGAGTGATCTGTATAAAGCTTTGAACTGCACTTCATGTCTGACTATAGAAAAACATAAAGGTGGTGACTGTCAATGCACCTTAGGAAAGGGAACAAAATAATATTTTAGGCAATCGTGTTTAAACATGTCATATGTGAAAAAAAAAGAATGTGTCAACATCTTGCACTTTATTACGTGCTGTGATTTAAAAAACAATCCTAATATTTGTTGACAGAGTAAAAGCCTGAACACGAGAGCCCAGAGCAATATCCCAATTCCAGGAAGTAATATCATCTATAAATAAACCATATTTATGTAATTTTTAAAATACAATCTCTGTTCTCATGCTTTGGCTACACTAGCTAATCTAAATTTTTACAAAAGTCACATGGGGATAATTATCATTATTTCCAGTTTCACAGATGAAAAAGGGTCACACAGTTAACAATCATCCCCCTCTGAAAGAAAAAGTACAGGGTGTAGGGGCAGCAAAACTTCATCTGTCCATCTTCTTAGGGCTCTGGCTGGGCCCCGCAAATTAAATTGACATAAAGTAGATTAACAGGAGAAAGGCATGCAAATTTATTTAACACAAGTTTAACGTGGCACAGGAACCCTCATAAAGAAATAAAGACTCAAAGAAGCAGTTAGAATCAGTTACTTATATATTGAATTGGACAGACTATAGTAGACTGAGAAAATGTGCTAATGTAAAAGAGCTTGAGCTAGAGTATGTTATTGTATAAAGTAGTGACAAGGAAGTGCTATTTCAACAAGATTTGTTTGTACAGAATTCTCTTGGCCTCAACTTTCCATCTTTGATAAGAATGTTGCGCTTTTTTTTTTTCTCCCTCGCTTAGGAAGTACATCTTTCATATGGTAGTTTCATCCACTGTTTTGGGGAAACGAAATGAAGGTCAGAATAATTTTTTTTGCGCAAGCTGTTTTTTTAGGTGCCTTCGAGGTAGTCAGTATTCCAAAGCGATACGCTTTTAAATCCTTAAAATTATTTCACGTGTAAAAACATAAGCCCTTATTAAAATTTCCATTCGGTGGCATAGCTTCAAATACTGTGGTCAACGTGAGGGAAAAAATGATCGGATTAAAAAGCGAAACTATTTCCTGTCTTCTCTCTCACCCTTAGTTTCCAGGTCTCTCCGCCTAGAGAAGGGCGGAGCTGAGGTTGCATCAGCAACGCATCATAAGCCGCTCCCGCCTTCAGTTCTCAATAAGGTCCGACAGCATCGTATAATTACCCGCGTTGTACTTTCCGTTTTCATTCTCTGGATTCAGAGCTTCGGGACTTCTAGCTATGTCTGGTCGTGGCAAAGGTGGCAAAGGACTAGGTAAGGGGGGCGCCAAGCGCCACCGGAAAGTCCTGCGCGACAACATCCAGGGCATCACCAAGCCCGCCATCCGGCGCCTGGCCCGCCGCGGCGGAGTCAAGCGCATCTCCGGCCTCATCTACGAGGAGACCCGCGGGGTGCTCAAGGTGTTCCTGGAGAACGTGATCCGGGACGCCGTCACCTACACGGAGCACGCCAAACGCAAGACCGTCACGGCCATGGACGTGGTCTACGCGCTCAAGCGCCAGGGCCGCACTCTTTACGGCTTTGGGGGCTAAGTTTCATTTTCTTCCCCCGCCCCGGTCTTCTTCAATGGCCCTTTTTAGGGCCGCCCCACTTCCTCTCAGAAAGAGCTGTACTGTATTCGTAACATTGAGCGGGTCGGAGTCAGCGCCTCATTCTTGACACTGGTCTTACTAAAGTCTGTCTTGTCAGCGTGTGCGCCTTATACGCTTTTATACTACGATATCTGCGTACTATGCCGCTCGCTGCTCACAAGGCAGGCCGATACTGCCTTTAAGACGCCGGGTATTTATTGCCAGCCTCCGCTCCCTCAGCAATGTGTGCTACCGGCTCAACTCCACTTGAAGTCTGGGCGCCTTCCCCAGTGGTCCTGGGTTTAAAGGTAGTTTGGCATTGCTAATTGCTATTTTCAGGCTGGGATCTCCTAATCGGGATGCCCAAGCAGATTTTGTAAATCACTTTGGAGACTAAGGGAGTCCTTAATAATTAAGGATTCAATTCTTTACCCTATTTCTGAGTCCCGTGACAAGGCCTAATTTTGAAGTAGCTAAAAGGCTACTCTGAAATAGGTGGCTTTCTTGCGTCTTTCCTATATGTGCCTGAAAATCCAGGATTAATTATTTTTTATTATGAAAATTTTGAGCTGTACTGCTTGACTAGGAAAATTGAAGTTAGGTGCTCGAATTGAGAAGTCAACCAACTGAATAGTCAGCATTTTTTGATTTAATACTTGAGAAATATATTGATAACTGCTTTAGAGTGTATATATATATTAAAAGTTTGCTTGGTTACTTTGCTAACAGTCCTGTCCTTTAATCCTGTAGAAAAATACTGAGTAGGCAGTTGATTGAGTTCGGGTGAAAGGTTTGGGCTGGAAATTTGGAAATTATCAGTATATAAATGGTGAGACTAGATGAGATGGCTAAAAATGGACATAAATTAGTGTAGCATTTTTTGTAATAGTAAATGAGTGGAAACAGTAAAGTTTAATTAGAAGGAAAGGTATGATCTATATCCATGAAATGGAATACTACACAGCTCTAGTAAACAACTGGAGAAGCTGTACTCCAGTGTGTATACTCTGGTGTGCTTTGGCTCAGTTCTTAGACTCCTCTTTTTTTGGTGATTTCATTTATTCTCACCACTTACATGCTCTGTGTTCTAGGTGTAAATTCCAGGTTAGCTTATAGCAATGCCAAAGCTTGTGATAATGGCAGCTTCCAGCCAATGTTTCTCATACCCAGTGATTGTTTTTTAGATGGTGGTCTTAATCACTTCAAATTCTATTAGTTTTCTTTCACTCATTTCAGACTTCACAAGGAAATATATAATTTAAGAAAAATATTGTTTACAATCACAAATAATATTCCTGGCCTTCCCCCTAATCTCTGGACTCTCATGTATACCTGCATATTTGACATAACTATTTGAAGATCTAATGTGCATCTCAAACTTGTCCAAAGTAAATGTCTTGACACATAAGCACCACCAGATCTGTTCTCTGATATTCCTCATCTCAATACATGAAACTCCATTTTTCCAGCAGCTTGGGCTAGGCACTTTTTAAACCCTCTGTGACCTTAGTTCCTTACAACTTCATCCTATCCACTCTTTCTATACTCAGAATCAATCAGAATACCTTTCACTACTTCCCTTGCTACTTCTCTAGGACAAGCTACCATCACCTTTTGTCTGGATAACCACAGTGATCCTTGACAAGTCTTCTTTCATTCTTAATCTCCCACCCCCACATTTTTTTTTTTTTTTTGTCAGTAGCAAGGTGATCTTTTGAAAGCATCATGTCTAGTATTTACTCAAAACATTCTTGTGGCTTTCCACCATCCTCACAATAAAAACCTTATCACAGCCTACAAGTAAGGCGAATTCTTCGTTTACCTGACTTTGAGGGGTTTCTAAGGGTATAGGACTTTCAGAGCTAAAACTTAGAAAGTCCTTGGCCAACCAGCATGAGTTAGTTCACCTATCTAGAAGGCCCTACTAGATCTGGCTCCTGACTAGTCTCTGACCTTATTCTCTATCACTTTTTTTCCCCCTACACTGACCTCCTTGCTGTTTCTAAAATAGGTCATATATTTCAAGCATGAGAGCATTGGTACTTATATTTCTTATCCTGGATGGCTTTAGATCTCATTTCATTCAGGCCTCTGTTCAAATACCTGCTTCTGAAACAGACCTCCCCGACCACCCTTTGTAAAATAATTCCCTGTTCTGCTTTGTTTACCATTTGAGCACATATATATGTGCATGTATGTGTGTGTATAAAATCTTCCAACCTATAGTAATATATATTTTAAATTTTTAATCGCTGTCTCCACCAACTAAAATATAATTTTTATAAGTAGGAACTGTTTTGTCCCTGAAGCAATCCTAGTACCTAGAACACAGCTGATATCTAATGGGTAGTTTATGGAGGTTTGTTGAATTGATGCATAAATGAATCTGCTACACAAGTCCCCAGACCTCCCCAACAGATCCACCAGAGTGCTAATACAATTAATTCTTCATCTCCAAACCCTTGACAGGTCACTTCCTGAAGCAACCAGCATGACAATTTCTCTCTAGATCTGAGGGATGACAGGAGGTTGCAAATTAAGCAGCATTATCTTGTTCTGAACAAAGATGGCATGAGTGTTAGGACTAAGGAAGGCCCAGGGTAGTTGTGGGTATGCCTAAAATAGGTGTTATCTGTCAGCAATGCTATGAAGGCCTGGCAGACTGTAATAGAAGTTAGTAATAGCCAGTGGTATAATAAGCATAATTCTTCTACAGGAATTGTGTCCACACATCTGTCTACAGTGACTGGTCATCAAGAGAGGAAATGCTAATTTGCTCATTTATGTACCATAATATCTACAACAATTCTCCCACATTACATGAGGCCATTAATAACCAGCTAAGAATACCAGCTAAGGAAGACAAAACATGAACACCCTCCCTACCAGGACTGTATTTGCTCCTCTGACTTCAGTTTCTCAAACCAGGATGCAGTTACAAATTATCTTTATTTTCAGTTTTAAATTAATCCATGCTGAGTTCTTTTGTCATTCTCCAAGAAAACCTAGGTGATAATTATCAAGTGAAAAACGAGACCCAGAAATCAAGGTGAGAAAGCCATCACTGAGGCTAACATACAGAGGACGAAATCAGTCCTGCAAAGAGCCTTACGACAGAAGCATTTGTTAATATCTATTCAGATAAGACTAAGATACTGTCCTATTAGCCAACCTTAAATGACTTCACATCTCTTTTCCAGCAGAGTTCTGAAGCCTTATGTACTACTGGAGCACATGATTGGATGTGATGGATAGGAACATACTTTAAAAATCAGTGTCCACAACGACTGAGTAGTTAAAGCCCACACGCAAGTGTAACACAGGAGCCCTTTCACAGACCACCACCTACCCTTGCCAACCTCAGCTCCTGCTTTTCCCTCTATCTATATAAGCAACTTTATTGAGACTTATCTTACATGCCCTAAAATTTACTCACTTTAAGTGTACAGTTAAATCATTAAATTTGTATGTTTATCTAGTTGTACAGCCATCACCACAACCTAATTTTAGAACATGTCCATCAGTCAAATTTCCATTACTCTGTGAAGAATGTAAAAAGTATGGCTAACTACTGAGGGCTCTACACACTGGAAAAGAGAGGCGCCGTTTCTCCCTAAAAAGAGTCATCTCCTGAATCGTGTCCTGGGTATTTGGGGTCTGAACACGGCTCACTTTCACTTCATTTTTAACGAAGACAAACCACATTGGAGGTTACAATTTCAGTTTTGTTCTCAGTACGTGGCCGAGGGACATTTAGATGTTTCTGACTCTAGTTAATAATCCGTAATAAATACATAATCTTAAGAATTTCTTGAAAACAGAATTTTGACATTTCTAAAAAAGCTTTTTACCGCTTTCCCCTTCCCGGCATCTCGGCCAACGGCTGGCCGCAGGGAAAATTAGCTAATCAGTTCTGATTGGTCGACAGGAACGGACAGGGATCACTGATTGGGCAGTACTTCTCTTTGTTCTGGAAACCGCTGCATGTTTAGTCATTTTCCACTTATTTTTCTATCATTGCTCCCCTCCAGACATCAAGCAAGCGTGGGGCAGAAAAAAAGCAAAAGGAAGTTAACTCTTACCTGAGCGAGGCACATGAATACGAACGTTAATAACTGAGTCTTGCCTTTAATTCCTGCATCCTTTCCGTAGGACGTTATCAGATTGCACAGTAAGCTGCTTGGCTCAGTTATACAGCTCTTCTTTTGAATACTTAGGCGGCCCTGAAAAGGGCCTTTGGTTCAGAAATGCAAGCGGTAGTGAAATGAGAAACCTTAGCCGCCAAAGCCGTAAAGGGTGCGCCCTTGGCGCTTGAGCGCGTAAACTACGTCCATGGCTGTGACCGTCTTGCGCTTGGCGTGTTCTGTGTAGGTGACGGCGTCCCGAATCACATTTTCCAGGAACACTTTGAGCACCCCACGGGTCTCCTCGTATATCAAACCGGAGATCCGCTTGACCCCGCCACGCCGAGCCAGTCGACGAATGGCTGGCTTAGTGATTCCCTGTATATTGTCACGTAACACCTTACGGTGACGCTTGGCGCCCCCCTTCCCCAAACCCTTCCCTCCCTTACCGCGTCCAGACATGGCCTCCAAGAAGTGAACCAACAGCAAGTGAGAGAAAAAAGGAGAACCTGATCCTTATATATCTACTTCCTCTCCTCCCAACCCCCAGCAGACATAGAGAATGGAAAGCGCGGAGACGGGAAATGTGACGCTCTCAGACTCCTCCTCTCTTGAGCCCGCCTCCAAGCCCCAGGAATGCGCGGGTTGAGAGAGGAGGCGGGGTTGGGGGCGGGTGACCAGTGGCCTTTGCTTTCTCTACTGAACGGCTTTGTTTTGCTTGGGGGAACGAGGTTTAATACCGATTCCAAAAACACTGAGTATAAGCCAACGTTATTTCCACAATAGGCTTGAAATCTTGGTAATCGTAAAACTAAGTTTGACAAGCCAGGTTTTGTTTTACTTTTTCATCTTTAACAAATCACGTTCTGTTCCTGTTCGTATGGCTCACAATTGGATGTCCAAGACGCCATGTTTAATGCCCCTGAAATGCTGACTCATTGTCGTCAGCGGCGGGCATATTAGATAAAAGAGTGATTTAGACGTGTCTTCCATGACTTCTAAGTGGGAGGTTTCATTGATGAAGAGTGCTTCTTACAGCCACTTTGCTTGAAAAAGTGGTGGCTCTGAAAAGAGCCTTTATTTTGGCTTGAGTGTCAAAGGCAGGTAATATAATCATGCCCGCTCTCCGCGGATGCGACGGGCCAGCTGAATGTCCTTGGGCATGATAGTGACTCGTTTGGCGTGAATGGCGCACAGATTAGTGTCCTCAAAAAGACCCACCAGGTAGGCTTCGCACGCCTCCTGTAGCGCCATCACGGCCGAACTCTGGAAGCGCAGATCGGTCTTGAAGTCCTGCGCAATTTCGCGCACTAGCCGCTGGAAAGGAAGTTTACGGATCAACAGTTCAGTGGACTTCTGGTAGCGGCGGATCTCGCGCAGGGCCACGGTGCCGGGGCGGTAGCGGTGGGGTTTCTTCACGCCGCCAGTGGCAGGAGCACTCTTTCGAGCAGCCTTGGTGGCCAGCTGCTTGCGCGGCGCCTTCCCACCAGTGGACTTCCGAGCGGTTTGTTTGGTGCGAGCCATGACAACCAACAACCACGACACCGTGCAGTTGTGCAAAGAAGACCAAAACAAGTCTGGCTAATATTTATAGTACATAAAGTGTAATGATTGGATGACTAAAAAAAAAAAAAACAAAAAACCAAGTATGATATGAATCCTCTGATTGGTTCATCTTTAAACTGTCCATCAAGAGTGCAGTCTCATTGGCTACTATATTCTGTCTGGAGCTTTTTTTTTTTTTTTTTTTTTTTTTTTTAAGGTGAGGCGGGTCTGACTTTGTTCTTCAGGCTGATCTCATAGTCATGGGCTCACAGGAGTTTCCCGCGTTAACTTCCAGCATAGGTACGATTACAGGCGAACGCCATTGAACCCGCCTTAGATTTTTTTAAAACTTTGTCTTCCACGCTTATTTTTATAATCTGAAAGCAATGGGTTGATTAAGCATGTTTGTCTTTCCAGGAAACTAAAGACATTGGTAACGAAACCCAAATCTCTGTAACTTTCAGTTATTGGGAGAAAAAAAAAGAATATTCCCCATTTTCTTAGTTGACTAAGGAACTTTATCGAATTCTACAACGTATAATCTCAAGGAAAGCAAAATTATACTGCCGCTCATAGAAACACTTTTGTAATGAGATATCTTTTCGTTAAGTGTTTATACTCTTTTGAAAACTACAATTGCAGCTCTGAAGCTCTTGTTTTCTAAAGCCTAGATCATACTTTGCCAGGCACAAAATGGCGGTTCTCCAGCACCGCCGCCCGGTACGAGCTGCCTGGAGTAGTACCTCCTAAGGGGCAGGCGTTCGACTTAGCCAAGGAAAAACTGAAATACAGAACTCAAACTCACTTAAGCCTCGCCAACAGCTAGTCTGATAGTTTTAATTCTCGGGACAGTAAAGTGGTGACTGTGATCTCTTTTATACTAACAGAAGGTAGGCCAGATTCTAACTTTTGATTGGTTTAATTCGTATTCTTGAGAAGCCATTAAGAAAGCAGAGTTAGCATCCTTTATTTGCATGGAACTTTCCCATTTTATTTGAAGCCACAGTTTAACCCAATAAAACCAAAGGGGGCAGAAAGCGTTATTTGAATAAGAAACTATAGAAACCTCTCCTGAATCAGAAAGTTCGGAGCATCTTCTCTTTACAACTTTCTTTTTCCAGATGCTTCGTTAATTATATTAAGAAAGGTTTATGTCTTTCAGAGACGGTTTACTTACAAAAAACTTCCAGTTTTGTATACTTGTGTTATATAATTAACTAGCCTTCAAACTAAGATGCATAGTTTTGCTTCTAGCTGTTCTCTTCCAAATTATTTATCCGAAGTTCCTTGATGCATTTGAAAACAGCTTCTCAATAAGGTGGGAGGTAGGAAAATGGTGAAGATGGACACAATACGTGTTTGGGACCATTACATTCTTTAGTTGGCACAGTGTTTGTAGGGAATGGAGGAAAGCTCGGATTATCTAGCACTGTGCGAACTTATTTGAAAACTGCAACAGCGCGGCGGGAATGAGATGTCATTGCCTCACTCTCCAGAGCGTTAAACAGCTACCCAGAATAGGAATGTGGAAGTGTCGGTTAAATGGTATTTTATTCTCCCGTTAGTTAACCGTCTCTGATTCTCAATGTGAAACTGTGGTAGCGGGTTGGTGCTCTTAAATGCCCTTTACGTCCATAAACAGGTTAAAGGTAGCTGTTGCCATAAAAATCTTACCCCCGCAGTATGCCCTCTTCACACTAAGGGGAACCAATTCCCCCAGCCCAGTGCCTGTCACGGAACCGTTTCGTTTGGCCAGCGTTTATTTAACGCCTTTCATAGGCTTGGTTGTGAGCCCTGTACATCTTTGCTGAATAAAATAATGAGTTGGTCATGCATGGTACGCTATTTGCATGTTAACTTGTAAACTTAGTGCCCATTTGGGGTATATTGTATGAATGAAAGGGAATTGGAAATTTATGAAGTGTATTAAACTGGGAAATGTAATTGCAGAAATTGCTTGCATACTGTTTTCCACACATGCAGTTTGTGTGTTGTGTTGCTAGTGAATTCTGGTGTTTTCTACCATTCATTCACCATAATATATGAAAGGTATTCACCAAATGTATCGCTCTAAAATGTTTCCAGAAAATATAGTGGCATTGAAGGCCTAAAATCCGCACTTTCCTCTTTCCTTCCCTATTTGAGACACGATCTTTTACATTTCTTGCAAATTCGAAATGACCATCCCTGACAGTGCATCCTCAATTAGTCTCGGGTAAAGCTCCTTGGATTTTTATATGGTTGCCTCATTTACAAACCAATTCCTCACACCTTTCGCCCCTCAAAAAAGAGCTGCTTTTTGAGAGAGAAGTAGCACCTTCTGATATAGTCCTGGGTAGCAGAGCCTGCCTACAATTTCCATCTCTAGGAGGCGACGCGGGCGGCTTTTTGTGTTTGCCTGAATGTAAGGATGCAGGACTGTAGGTCCTAGAGGCTCCCAACTGCATTGCGTGACAGGGCATAGACCCTGGCGGCGTAGGGGGCGCTAGGGAAAGAGGGGCGGGCACTGGCGGGCACCAATCACCGCTCAGCCCCGCCCTATAAATACGCCGCACGGGGGCCTTTTTGCGTCCTCCAGCCTAGCTGGTTTACTTCGTGTGGATCTGCAGCTTCCATGTCTGAGATGGCGCCGTCCGCTACTGCCGCTTCTGCTGTTCCCGAGAAGCCTTCAGCTGGCAAGAAAGCGAGGAAAGCTGTGAGGGCTGCAGTCGCCGCCCGGAAAAAACCCGCTGGCCCTTCAGTGTCGGAGCTGATCGTGCAAGCCGTTTCTTCCTCCAAGGAGCGTAGCGGCGTATCCTTGGCAGCCCTCAAGAAGGCCCTGGCGGCGACTGGCTACGATGTGGAGAAGAACAACAGCCGCATCAAGCTGGGCCTTAAGAGCCTGGTGAGCAAGGGCACACTGGTACAGACGAAGGGCACTGGCGCGTCCGGCTCCTTCAAGCTCAATAAGAAAGCAAGCTCTCTTCAAGCTTCAAGCTCTGCGGAAGCTAAAACCAACACCTCAAAGGTGGCAGCAAAAAACAAGGCAACGGGCGCCTCTAAGCCGCCCAAAAAGGCCACGGGAGCTACTGTTAAAAAGAGTGTCAATACTCCGAAGAAGGCTAAAAAGCCTGCCGTAGCAAAGAAGTCCTCCAAGAGTCCTAAGAAGCCTAAGGCTGCAAAGCTCAAGAAAGTAGCCAAAAGCCCTGCTAAACCTAAGGCTGTAAAACCCAAAGCGGCCAAGGTGAAGGTGACTAAGCCAAAAACTGCCGCCAAACCCAAGAAGGCAGCACCCAAGAAAAAGTAAAAGTTTGGTTGGAAGTTTCTTTCGGTAACCCAACGGCTCTTTTAAGAGCCACCTAAGTGTCTCAGAAAAAGAGCTCTAGTGCACAGTCCCCAAGCAAATTTAGTGCGCTCTCAAGCCATATCTTGCTCCGTATTAGTCTAAGTTGAATCTCAAGCTATCCGTCACAGCCAGAAGAATGAAGGGCTTTTAAGGATGCCCAGGTGATTTCTAGCACACCGGGTTTACAGAGCCCTTTAGTTTTGCCTCTATCACAACCACCTGGGAGAGCTCTTTGGACCTACGTGGATTCCCCAAACCAGCGACAACTACCCCAAGGCCCTTGTCCCAGGTTTGAAGCGTGTACTACGTGCTTCTTGTTTATTCAAACATCTCGTGGCCAGTGTAATATCCAAAGGGAGGGATGTTACGTTCTGGGGCCAATATTGCCAAAGCGGCCTTTTCCCAAATTGGATAGGCCTAGGAAATTAGGCGGAAATAACAAAGTATGCAGTTGCCAAACTCATGGCTTAACCACACCCTGTTTCCGCAGGAGTGGCTAACGAGCTGTTCATCTCTGGGAGTGACGCAGACCCCGCAGGCACGGATAACGCCCAGGTGGGTAACCCTCCTTCGCCTCTTGCAGAACCATAATGAGAGGGCTCTGAAAACTCAGGTTGTCCTTGCTTTACGCAGTGCCTTACCCCGAATGGACTGTGGGCTGGGCTGTCTGCTAGGTTTAGGCCATAGGACAAAGAGCTTAGATGCAATGGAATTTTAGAGCTGAAGCCCAAAAGCCCTTCCTCGGTTTCTATAGAAATAGAGGCGCCCTGATTGGATGTTATTTGAAAATTACATTCTGTGCATATGTATACATATGTGATCTCACTCTTGCCCAAGCTAAAGTGCAGTGGCTCACTGCAACCTCGACCTCCTGAGCTCAAGTGACCTTCCCTCCTCAGCCTTCAGAGTAGCTGGGACTAGGCCTGCCACCACACCCGATCCCTGCCTGCTAATACATTTATTACTTACTTTTTCATTGGGGAGTTTATCTTTTCCAAAGCACACAGAGGTATTCAAGTAAATTATAGATGAATACTTTTGATTCTTAGAGTGGGAAAGACCTTTCTAGCTATTTCTCAAAACCCAAAAGCTATTAGAGACAATTTTGATAAGTTTAATTGCATAAAAATAAAGACAGCCTAGCAAAATTCATCAAAGGAAAGTTATGAGACAGTGACTATCTGGAAAAAATGCATTTTGCAACTCATATTACGAAGGGCTAATCTCTGATAATCTATCTGATAGACAGATGTTCTGTAACCAGAATAAACTATTATTCTTTCACACAATGTAGTACCATGGACCTGTGGAAAGAAATGAACTCTGTGTCCTGTTATGGATACCGCTCAAGGAAAGACAGCAAAATGAACAATGGTACAGAATATGTATGGATATCATTATCCTATGAAAGGGTGGAAAAGGTGTATATATATTTTTGTTGTTTGTATTTGCATAAAGAAACGGTAGGATAGCGTATGGAACTTGACTTCTAGGTGTATATTTTATCTCAATTCTGATTTTGAATCATAATGTTATCTATTAAAAATAAAATATGTGATCAATGGTAGTTTAGGTCTATTAGCATTTTGCCCTAAAGTGTTTGTATGTTTTTCAGATTGCATTATTTTATTTAATTTAATTTTTTGAGTTGGAGTCTCACTATATTGCACAGGCTGGAGTGCAGTGCCATGCTCATGGCCATCACAGCCTCGACCTGCTGGGCTCAAGTGATTCTTCTGCTTCAACCTTCCAAACAGCTGGAACTATAGGTGCATTCCACCATGCATGGTTAATTAATTTTTTGATTTATTGTAGAGATGAAGTCTCAACAAATTGCCCAGCCTGGTTTCAAACCCTGGGTTCAAGCAATCCTCTCACCTCAGCCTCCCAAAGTGCTGGGATTCCTGTGGCATCCAAGCCCATCACGTCAAAGATGGCAGCAAACACCAAGGCAACAGGTGCTTCAAGCAGCCCAGCTCAGATTGCATTATTATAATTTTACCACAACTTGTAATTTTCAGTATTACTTTTTACCTTTTGATAAAGAAATCTCACTTCTGTGAAACTATTCTGAGATACACTTGAAAATGACTGTGTAAATCCGCTCTCGTCCGTGTGTCGTGTGTGTGTGTGTGTGTGTGTCCCCCGGCGCCACACACCCAAGACAAGTTTCCTATGTTGCCCAGACTGGTCTTGAATTTCTGGGCTCAAGCAATCCTCCCACATCAGCCTCTCATTTTTAAAAATTCAGCAATAGGTGGCCGGTTAAACTGTGGAATGTATATACAATGCACTATAGGTAGCTGCAAGACCACCATTTTACGAAACGATCATTTAGTAGTTAATACTTCTTTTTTAATCTAGCATATATTCATGATTTTAATTTTGTTAATTTATTATCTCACTATTGACAAATGAGGGAAAAATGTGAGTAGCAGTTAAGCAGCCTGCAACTTAAGTTAATTTAAGCAACTCATAAACCTACCTATGAAGCAAATTAGAGATTTTATTTATTTATTGTTGTTGGGGGTATTACTGTGTTGCCCAGGTTGGTGTTGAACTTCTAGCCTCAACATGATCTTCCCACTTCTGCCTCCCAGAGCACTGGGATTACAGGCATGAGCCAGCATGCCTGGCTCCAGAAAATTGTAGATTTTAAAATTGATTCTGGATGCTTAAAACCCCTCTTGTTGAAAAAATTTTCTTTAGTAGAAATTCCAACATTCTCTAAACTTTTTTAATCGGACAGCATAACATATAAATAGAAAATTATAACAAAACAAAAATGCAAAGCTTAGTGGATGAATACAAAGTGAACACCATTGTAATCACAAGTCAAAAAATAGAAAATTTGTATGCCATTCTCAGAGCCTCCTCATACTTGTTTCCAGTCACAAATCTTTTCATCCTCCCTAAATATAACCACTATCGTAATATCTAACACTGTACTTTAGTGTGTTTGTTTTTGAAACTTATATAAAATGGAAATCAAATAATATGTAGTCTTTTGTATCTGGTATCTTTCACTTAGAACATTAGATTTGAACAGATTCATCTGTGTTGTTGTATATAACTGTGACTAATTCATTTTTATTGTTGTATAATGTCCCATTTTATTAATGTGCCACAGTTTAGGTATCTATTCTGTAGACAAGATATTTGAGTTGTTTCCCTTTTTCAAAAACCATTACAAACAATGCTGTGAATTTTTCCGTGCTATGTGTCTTGGTATATATGTGCATACATATCTGTTGTTTGTATACTTAGGAATGAAATTGTTGGACCACATGTTAAACTCTTTATGAAAGTGGTTATACAAGTTTACATTCATTGTAATGAAAAATGAAATAAAAAAACCCACAGATATAAGCAGACATGGATGATCCTTACAAATCTAATATTTAGTGAAATGTAGATAATAGATGAGAATTCCTGTTATTCCATATCCTTCCCAGAAGTTTTTTTGTTTATTTGTTGTTAGTGTTATTAAAATTGTTAATTTATTTTTTTAAATGTTAGTCATTGTGGAAAATGTGCAGTAGTATCTCATTGTGGCTTTTTCATCTTTTGCCCATTAAAAAAAAAAAAAGAGCTTATGTATTAGTATGCTTGGGCTGCCATAACAAAATACAAGGCTAGGTAGCTTAAACAAAAGGAATTTATTTTCTTGCAGTTCTGGAAGTCAGGCCAGAAATCCTAAATTAAGATTTCAGCAGATTCAGTTTCTAGTGAGGGCTGTCTTCTCAGCTTGCTGACGGTCACTGTCTTAGTCTGTTTTGTGCTCCGTAATTGAATACCTGAGACCAAGTAACGTATAAAGAATAGAGATTTAATTCTTACAATTCTGAAGGTTAGAAAGACCATAGTCAACAGGACATCTGGCAAGGGCTTTTATGCTGTGTCATGGTGGAAGGCAGGAGGACAAGAGAGCCAAACTCATTTTTATAACAAATCTACTCTTGAAATACTCATTCCACACAATTCAGTTCATAACAGGTTGTTTGTGTTTTCTTGCTGGTTTAAAGTAGCCATTTTTTTTTTTTTTTTAATTCTGAGCATGAGCTCTTTGTCTATTTTATGTGGTTGCAGTTACTTTTATTCTGTGACTTGTGTATTTATTATTTTAAGGATATCTTTAGATGAATCAAAGTTGTTAATTTAATATATTCAAATTAGTCACACTGTCCTTTTATGCCAGAGATTTTTGGATCTTGTTTAAAAAATCATGTTCTATCCCAAGGTCATGAAGATTTTATTTCATAATATCTTCTTGTGAAATTAGAAGAACAGTACATAGTTCCCAAGACTATCCTCACTTCTAACACCAGTTGTAAGTTGGGGGAGTGGCTCCCAACTATTTTTAGGTTCAATGATTTGCTAAAAGGATTCACAGAACTTGCTGGAAGTTGTCATACTCACAGATACAGTTTATTATAGGATACATAGTTTACTGTAAAGAGTTTAGCATTTGACCCAACAATTTCACTCCTAGGTATACAAACAAGATATGTGTGTACATATATACTGAGACACATATGCAGGAAAATTCTCAGCATTGTTTGTAATAGCTAAAAATGGGAAACAACTCAAGGGATACAGGTTAAAGTCATTCAAGGAAAGAAGCATACAGAGCAGTATTTTAATTTTTTCCATATTCTGTTCTCCCCTGTCTGCAGAAAATATGTTTAAATCCTAAACATATTTTCTCACTTCAGAAATGTGGCCTTATTTGGAAAAAAGGTAGTTGCAGATTGTCATTAGTTTAGATGAGATCATAGTGGAGTACAATGAAATGATGACTTATTAGAAGAACTAGTATCCTTATAAGAAGATGACTATGTGAAAACAGAGATACAGTGAGAATGCCATGTAATGATACAGGCAAAGATTGGACTTCTGCGGCTCCAATCCAAGGAATGTCAAAGCTTGTCAGCACACCACCAGAAGCTAGGAAGAGGCAA